AAACAAAATCAACTCCAGCTTTGATACACATTTTCTCCATGTTTTCCTTATGTCTGATCTTTACACTGCTCGAAAAAACGTCTTTGTTCAGATTTCATTTAAACTAATCACTACGTAAGAAACGTTACCGTATAGGCTGAAGATAAAAGCTAATTCTTAGCTTGTTGGTGATTTTCTTTTTCTTTATTACCAGAACCACTTTTTAGCATATAAGTGAAAAGTGATTCTGCACTGGTAAAGATTGACATTTAATATATCATTTATAAACCAGTTAAAAATATAATGAAAAGTTTTTTACTGCCACACCATCTAAATAGTATTCTTAAAACGGGGAACATTTTATTAATCAAAACATCGGATACAGAAGTATCGTCTCAATTAAAAATAGAAATTTTAAGGTACCTTTCATTTAACACTTTATGAGAAGAAAAATCATTGGAAAAGCTACTGAAAGGAAACAAACTTCCTTGCAAAAGAAAAGATACAATGTGGGGGGGGTGCCCAGAACAAGATGGAGAGTGCTGCTTTATGTTTCAGCTCCTTCTGCTTACAGTCAGACAAGACGTGTTGATAACAACCTCCTTCAAGATGTTAAGATGGTGTCTCATCTGAGCGCTGCACAAAGAAAAATTGAATGTTCCAATTTAGCCCATTTATGATGGTCTCTGCTCAGCATGAGTTGGCCAAGTGGTCGGTTGAAGTTCTTGATCCTGTTTTGCAGTATTATTCTGATGCTGTATTTCAGACTCGTTTCATTTGTGTCTGATATACGCAAATTACAACATACTGTTGACACGGAGCTTCTCATGTCTTTTGATATTTGTGGTCTGTTCACGAATGTTCCTTTTGATGAGACGATTGACATTTGTGCTATTTGTATTGTGACCCCTTAAAGCCTCCATCTTTTCCTGACAGTGTCTTTGTTGAGCTGATGTAGATGGCTAATAAGTCTGTCTCTCTCAGCTTTGATAATAACATATATCAACGAATTGATGGTGTAACGATGGGTAGTCCTTTGGGACTTCTCATGGCTAATATTTTTGTAGGGTTTTATAAGAAGCAATTGTTTGATAAGGTACCTAAACCATACTGCTATTTCCGTTATATTGATAACACTTCATATCTTTTCATCACATAATGAGGTAGATGGGCTTTTTCAATATCTAAATGGTCTCTACTCATCTTGACAATTTCTGATGGAGGTGGAAAATAATATGTTACCTTTCCTGGACATGCTGGCTGAAAGAAATCCTACTTCTTTCATCACCAGTGTATATATATATATATATATATATATATATATATATATATATATATATATATATATATAGGAAGTCCACTTTTATTGGGTTGTATCTCAGGACACATTTGATCCTAAATCGAGGAAAATTAACCTTGTCAAAACACTAACTCATCGTGCATTGATATGTTTGGAGTACAAACTTGATGCCAAATTTAGGGAAATTACCAATATCTTTCTTGTTAGTGGCTATCTGGAAGGTGTCATTAAAACAAATGTTAGACTTAAAATTTCTAAGTTTAGTGAAATTAAAACATTTCCTGTCTACATTAGATTACCTTGAACTGGCTCTTATAGTCAATCATGTGCTAAGATCTCTTCAACTGTCATGCACTGCTCCAATTCTGTAATAGTATAGAACATCTTTTCTCCTAGGAGTGCTTTCCCATCTGTCCATGAGGATGTCTTGCCCACTAATCAACAAAGTTCTGTTATTTATCATTTTAAGTATTGGTGTGAGGCTGACCATGTGGGTAAGACTATCCAATGGCTAGAAGTGCCGATTGCACAGCATATGCATGGCTTTATACCTAGACATGCTCCATTAGCATCCGGGAACTCACAGGTGCACGAGTCTACCATTGGGGAACATTTCTTGAGTTCTGTGACTTGTGGGTTCAATTATTCAACAGAGTTCTTCTCTGTGCTGCACAGGTCTCAAATGAGACACCATCTTAACATCTTGGGGGTGGTTGTTATCAACATGTCTCCTCCAACTCTATGTAGGCAGAGGGAGCTGAAATATAAACTGGCACTCTTTGGCCAGTTTTTCCCCAGTTTGCCCCTTTTAATTCTATTGTGAGGAGATTTGTTTCCTTTCGGTCAGTCAGTTATGTGCCATGCGTGATAGACACTTAGGCGATCATGTATTTTTTGATACATGACTGACGAGGCAGATTTTTTCCCACAGTAGGTTGCCATTTCTTTTTGCGGTAAACTAGTTGCCAGCCAAGGCTATAGAACCCGGTCTATCCTGTTATTTACCCATAACTGGGGGGGAAATAAGAGGATTCATACCTTTCCCAGGGGTATTAGCATGTAAGTGAATGCAATGGATTCGACTGGAATTTGAACTCTGCTCTCCTGTTTCTCAATTCGAGCCACTATCCATTACTCCACTGTGCCTCCTTTCACTAGTTTTTCTTAATTCCAATGACTTTTCTTTTGGATGAAGTCTCTATTTTTTTTAAAAATGCTAAATCTATTTTTAATATAGATGATATATATAAATATTATATATTTTATATATATATATATATATATATATTAGACTTGAAGAGTGAAATAGAATTAAATATTGCATGATAAAGCTTGTTGATAATGCACCTAAATTAATAGTAAATTCCATCCTTATGGGAAGGAAAAGAGGATTAAAAAGATTGGGAGGATTATAAGCTTTTACCTGTAATGCAATGAAGAGTAAGCTGATTTTGTGGGGAATTAAATTTATTGTTCAATTAAAACTCCCAAGATTGATGAGATCTTTCTTATTTCTAGGCTGCTGTTACTAATATTATTATAATCTCTCTAATAAGAGAGGAAAATTGTTCTGTTGCTCTTATCTCATTGCCTATCAACCTCTAACCCAGAGGGAATACTTGACAAGAATCAAGATTAGGAAATACTGTAGTTTTGGGGTATTTTAATAGTAAACATGTACTGACTCCAAATATCTTGAAAATGTTATCTTCTCAAAGTTGTGATGAGAAAATAGAGGGGGAAAAATCTGATAATTTTAGAAAAATGCAACTAAAATCTAATGATCAGAACATGGAACAATTTTTTTTTAATTTTATAAAAAATCTCTCTCTCTCTATCCCTTCCCCCTTTGTTTTCCCCCCATCCCAACCAACAATGCGTAGCAAATATAATTCAAGTAGCTGTTGAGATGTGTGTGTTTGTGTACACACACACACACACACACACACACACCCCTTGGTATTATACACCTCGCTTTAACAAATATCAGAAGCAACAGACAAAATGTAGAGCAGCCAACTCTGTCTTGTAAACTATGGATAGAGTTGTGGTAACACTGGATATAATCTGCTGCTTCACGAACTGACCACTAGTTGGCAGGCTATCACTTTATTTACACCAGTGTTATCACGTGTGTAGCTTATTGATCCATGGGTTTTCTCTCTCTCAGTTTTATTTTCATCATTTTCTATAACCATGTGAAAAAGGGTGAATTTAACATTTGCATAAAATAGTGTATATTTACAGTGCCAGACTGGGTAGTGTGCTTGATTAAATGTACAGTATTATATTATTCCTCTTTCTTTTGTAATGTAATTATTGTTATTAGCCACTACACACTTAGTGTCGGTAATTACGGACAATTTGCATTATGGCATTATTGGACCAGTGTTTACCCACTTTTATCTGTTAACATGAGGTCTGAGTGTATATATACATCCAATCTAATAGTGGGTAAGTAAATGACAAATTGAAAAAAATTGGTTGATGCATTTCATTCCTTTTCAGAATTAAGACATCAGATGTTTCCCTTTTTTTTTTTTTTTTTTTTTTCTTTATTCACTTTTTCATATGATGGACTCTCTCGTCAAGTTCGACGTATAAGGTTCTGACAACCACAAACTAATTATCTGCATGACTTTTGAGACAGGGTCGAGAATTGCACAAAGGACCAAGAGTAGTACACAAGAATGTATTGTATCCATGTGCAGCAGGAACACTGTTAGCTGTCTTATTTTGCTTTTGTGTTTCATGCAGTTGAATGATGCTTATTTCTTGATGGTGCATTATTCTTGAATGGCAGCTGGAACAATACTCTGATTTCTTCATAGTTACCTCTTCAAAGTTCTAGAATGGACTGTTGGCGCAAGAAAGGTTGCTCTTCAGTTTATCTTTATACCTAAGCCAAGGTCTACTGCCATTTCTATGACCACTTTGGAGTTCACTGTAGAAAAGAACTTTTGGTATGCAATCATCACTCATCCTTGCCACATGGCCAGCCCAATGTACTTGTGATTGCATTATGAAGGTCTTGATGGTACCAGTCTTGCATTTCTCAAAAAGGTCAGTATTTGACCCTCAATTGTGAAACGTTGGGCCACAGATTGTACGGAGATGGCCTTTTACGGAAGATATGTAATCGATTAGTGTGGCATCTATAAGGTGTCCAGGTTTCAGAGCCAGACAAAAGAGTTGATAAAACAGCTTTGTACACTTGGATTTTAGTGCAAAGCTTTATTCCCCTTTCGTCCCACAATCTATGAAGCAGTGAACCAAAGAAAACACTGGCTTTTGCAATTTGATTAACAATCTCCTCATCAAGTGACTTTTTCATAGCTATATATATATATATATATATATATATATATATATATATATAGCTTTTTATGCACACTTAATAAAAGTCCATCATGGTGTTTACTTTTTTTTTTTGTAATGAGTTAAGATTTATTTTAGAATATTTCGAAGCATGGATATCCTGGTAATAAGAGAAGTTATTGATTTTTATTTTCCATTATTTTTAATTTAGTAATGATCTTTTTATTCTAACTTGTTTTGTTGCTTCCTTTTCAAAATACTGAGATTATTATCTATTTATTTTAGCATACTAATACATTTGAATTTATAAATCTTCATTTTTTTGATAGGTGGCTACACAACAAATATAAGTGCAATAAAAAATGCACACACTATATCACCTGTTTTTAATTCTCGCAAAAAGACACGGACACATCTGACTTGGAGAAGTAACAGCACAAAAAATTCTTTACTCAGTGTGAGTATCTTCACTCTACTTAAATTTTCAAAAACAAAATTTAAAGCCATATTCAGTTGAGTAGTTGCAAAAACAGGCTTCTTGAAGCAAAGGGGAAATGATTCCTGCTGAGAGGCTTATTCTTTACTTCTGATCTGTACTGTTTATTAATAGCTATAGACTGATGTTTTAAGTAGTTGCAATGAAAAACAACTAAAAACTAAGATAAGAAAAAATTAGGCAAAAAATTGTTAATAGCATTTAGTTTAATAACAGACAAGCAATTAGGAGGAATCACCTTTAAATTTTCAGAACAGTATCCTTCATCAGAAATATTTTATGTGTCATTTCCCTTCAGGGCGTGGATGATCATGGCTTTCCACAATTTCCTGTCTTTTCTAACTCTTAGTAATTTTTTTTTTTTTTTTTTTTTTTTGCCATCTCTTCTAATCCCTGTTCTGCCGACCATTTTCACATGCTCATTAGGTAGGTTATTCACTTCTTTCCTTGGTTCTGCTTGCCTTTAATATGTCCTGTCAGTGTTAAATTTTCTAAGCCCTCTTTCCTTATGTGCCCTAGAAATTTCAATTATTTATTTCTTATTCTAAGTATGTGTCCTTTTTGTTTCCATTTTCTCTAAAATTTTGCCATTGCTCACATGTTCAGTCCATGATATTCTCAGCATCCTTCTGTAGGACAATATTTCTGTTATCTCAGTTTTTTCTTCATCTGCGAAGAATATCTTAAAAGGAAAACCAGCAATTGTATTTTATCATTATAAATTTTTAACTTTTTTTAATGCACATTCTTCTCCAAATATCACATTGGCAGCATGGATCAGGAATAAGCTTTCTGTGAATGTAATTTAACCCTCATTCTTTATTTCTAATTCATTCACCTGACTTTTAACCGTTGTAGAATGTAATAAATATCCTAAACATTGTGAAATGGAAAAATAAGATGAAATAACTAGTCAAAAATAAATTATCAAACCATATAATAATTTTCAACGTGTATTTATATATTTCCTGTCCCATCTGTAGTGGGAAGGGAGGTAAATCAACTTAAGTTAGTAAATTTATGAGTAATTACTTCCCTTAGTCATTTTGATAATCTATACAATATAAAATATTTATCTGCAATTAGACAAAATTACTTCCTGGGCAAAATGAACTGTTCAATTAATCAGTTCCTTTACCCCTACATTTCTTAAATTGCAGTCTTATTTGTTCCATTCTTTCATGTGTGGCACTCAAATACTTTTGTCTATTAAGTGATTGTCTTGCTTCAACTTGGTCTTGAAATGGGCTTTGTCATTCTGTAGCTAATGTTTTTCTTCTGAGATATTTCCATCTCACTGTTATATTGAAGGCATAAGATTTTTAACAAGACAAGATATTGAGCAAAATATGATTTATATAATACCAAGAGGAATAAATGAATCATAGATACCATTGAACATATAAAAAGTATAAAGGGAATAAATTAATTAAACTGTTTATTGGCCTCTATTTTAGTTGTGAATTCTTTATCTCCACTTTATTGAATCTCACTACACTGTTTCAGGAGTTTTATTTCATTGCATCTTATTACAACTTTCTAACAATTGCTGCTATTTTTTATAACACAGTTACATTAGTTTGTAATGACAATGTTTCAACTTGGAAATTTTTGAAAATTATTTCTCCTTTATTTTAATTTTAGATTTTTTTTCACCCTTTTCTGCACTCTCCTATCTCTTTGAAGGTTATGGTATACAGCTTCTGCAACTGTTATGGGTTTGATATATCATAGTTTTTTTTTTTTTTTTTTTTTTCCAAATTGTCCAGATACTTAATAAACATAAGATTTGCTAACAGTCTTGAAATAGTGCATTCAAAGCTCAAACAGAAAGTGTAATTTTGCTGCATATTGCAAAAATTGTTACTAAAGTTAAATCTGTTAGAGATAGGATCTTTATTTTACTTTACTGATTCACCTGACCTTAATTAGTTTTTTCTTAAGATCACTTCTTTACAAATTAGAATCAAATTGATAAAGCCGTCAATGAATCTGTTGGTTCTTTTAAATGAAGAATCCTCTTTCTAGTAGAAAATTAACAACTTGTTTGCAAAATGGAATAAATGTGTTTGGGTTCAAAAAAAATATTTTGATTGAATAAATGTTTTTTTCCATAAATTAAAAAAAAAATTTCATCTAAATGTGATGAATTTCTGTACAAAATCATGTGAAAAAAATATTTGGAATCTGATATTTTTAAAAACTAAAGAAACTTGTTTTCATTCATTTTACTTTGTACTTTTTTCTTCTATTGATCTATATAAATATGTAAATTTCAACTGTATCATAGTGTGAATAAGATGAGTCTTCATAAAGAGAAACTGGCTTACAGCCCCATCATGTTGAAAACCCAGATCACATGCAATCACCAAAGTTGAGCAACAGTGACCTTGGTCAGTACCTAGATAGGTGACCGCTTGAGAATATCAGGTGCTATAAAGGATAATGACTTGGAATTGTTAAGCAGAAAGCTGAGTTCCTATTCCAGTTGGGTTCATTATATTCATTTATGTGCAAAAATCTTTGGGAAAGGTATGAAGCCACCTCTTCCCTCAGCTATGGGTTAATTAGTAAGACTTGTATTACTAAATCACTATTATCTCAAAAAAAAATTTTTTTTTATTTTTTTTTTTTTTATCTCTCTTTCTTTTCTGGCTTTAAATTTAACCTGCAATGGGTTGATAACCCATAGAAAACTAATCAATCAAAAGAAACTAATATTTATAAAACTCAATGTTTATAGCATGACTTTTAAAGGATTTTTTTGTTATGATTAGTGGACATGTGGGTGGTGCAATGAATAGTGACTCTGAATGAGAAATTGGAGAGCTGAGTTCGAATTCCATTTGGGTTTGAATTTAAAGGAACTATTTTGTATTTTCAATTTTGAAAGCAGATTGTAACCTTTTATATTTGAAAACTAAAGTTCCCTTTATTTTATTTTACAGTTAGACCGACATAAAAGTGTAACCAGTGTTTTGTTCCACACAGATCATCTTATAGTTTCTGCTGGAGCTGTGAATAAGTTTGTATTTCCTCTTTTTTTTTTTTTTCTTTTTTTTTCTCTCCAATATGTTTGAAAAACATAAATTTACTATTATGTTGGATAATTAAGAAAATGGGAAAAATTATATGTAATGTTTTATGCTTTAAAAGACTTTATCAGACCAACATGATGTTTTTATTGGTGAGGTCATATGTGTAGAGGGAATATAAATGAAGATGTCAGTTATAATTATGCATTATTGTTGGACACGTCTAGATGCAACAGCCAAATTGATTTCATTCTGTTTCCCAATACTTTTGTTTTTATTGCTGCTATTTTTAAAAACAAAAGGATTGGGAAAAGTGACACTGAGTTGTTTTTTTTTAAAGAAGAAAAACAACCATTGGGTAACTGAATGAAATTGGTTGACTTGCTGTTGACCCTAGAAATAAACTGTTTCTAAGTTTTATTTAATATGCTGGTTACAATAGGGTGATTACAAAATATTACTTGAAACATCAACTTTATATTAGCCAACATAGGTAATAAAAATGTTTTGGTAAACTTGGGCCTTCAGGCCCACAAAAAAAAGTGTTAAAAAGACAGTTTTTCCTTTCGCATCTCTATTATTTTAACTACTTTGAATCATTGGCAATGTTTATTGTTTTTAAAAAAAATGATTATAATTGTAATAAACTTAAACATTTGAAAGTGAATTTATACATTTCTTTGTTCTTGAGAATTGACAAAAAAAATAATAAACACTTGATTTTTGGAATGGTTGGCAAAACATAGGCTAATTGTCAATTGATTCAAACTTTATAAAATGATAAATTTTCATATTTCTTTATAAATTGGTAAATGATAAATATTGCATTAGTTTTAATTGTTTTAGTTTTTAGAATGTAAATACAAAATTATTTTTGTAAGTAAACTGTCTAATAAATAAATAGTTTAGTATGTTTAGATTTTATTGCAATTCTAATCATCGCTTTTTAAAAGAATAAGCATTGTTGAGGAGTGAAAGTAGTTAAAATAATAATAGTGTCAAGGGAAAAAACACCCTTTTTTTTTTTTTTTTTTTTTTTGCCAGTACATAGGTTTCAGTTTTCCAAATTTTTAGCTGATTTATAGTTTCTACTGAAGTTTTAACATTGTTTTCACACTAAAAGAGAATAAACTCATTGGCACCTGCAATGAAAATATATCAGAAAATGCCAAGCACAAGATAACTCATAGTTGGCATCATAATAAAAATGTTATGATTGGCAGTCAGTGTATTAATAACGATCACAAGGCATAAGAGTATTGATTCCAGTAATTGAAATATATCAAAGAGAAGCCATGAAGTGTTTCCTTTTAAGTTCATTTTTGTTGTTATCCCAACATCTTGTCCATTGTGCTCTTTGGCATTCTTTAGGTATCTATTGATCTGGTTAACCTTTTGGGAATTTCAAACTGATCCCTTTAGATTAAATAAAGTCAATGGTAAAATATGGTAACAAAGATGAAGACATTAAACCAACTGTAAATAGTGTAAAGATGAGTCTTCATAAAAAAGAAACTGGCTTATAACCCTATCACGTTGAAACATCAGTTAATGTACGATGACCAAAGTTAAGCAATGTCGACCCTGGTCAGTATCTAGATAGGTGACCACTTGAGAATACCAGGTACTTTAAATCTGGATGTATGGGTGGTGTAATGGATAATGGCCTGGAATTGTTAATCGGAGAGCTGAGTTCCAATTTCAGTTGGGTTCTTTATTCACTTATGTGCAAATACACATGGAAAAGTTACAAATCTTCTCCCCCCAGACTTGTATTACTAAATCACTATTATCTCAAAAAAAAAAAAAAAATTACAATCCAAAAATATTTTCTGGCTTTAAATTTAAATAACCTGCTTGTTATAATTGGTGACATGTGGTGGATGTCATGAATAAAGATTTGGAATGAGAAATCAGTTTCATTTTCCAATTGTTTATTACATTTCATTAATGCACAAATACCCTTGGGAAAGGTATGAATCTATCTCCTACTGCTAGTTATAGGTTAAATAGCAGGACCTGTATCTAGAAAAATTGTTTTTATTCTCAAATTGTTTTTATTCTCAAATTGTTAATGCAATATTCCCTTGCAAAAATAAAATTGTGTTTCCAATCCAAAATATGTTTTGGCTTTAAATAATCCATAAAGACTTGATAAGCCATTAAAAAATCAATCAGTCATTATGGTTGTTCTGTTATTGATGGCACTGTTATTGTGCCTAATTTATAAATTAAGGTTTATCATAGTGTTATATTAGAAGAAAAACTGTACATGTTTTGTCATTTCTGTCATCCATCAAGAGTCTTGGAAGTTATCCCTTTCAGGTAAAGTGGGATTACTGTACATCTAGATTGGATTCTTTTTTTTATAATATGCATAATTATTTTTTTGAAGTATTTAAAATTTTTATTTTTATTGCAGTCATATAAAAGTTTGGGATTTAAGAAAATGCAGCAGTTTGCAACTGAATCCAACTCCTGTTCAAACTTTCTCCTCCTTTCAAAATGCTGTTAGAAATCATGGTATGTTGATATGTTCAAGATTTCCATTTTTGTTTTGTCTAAAAGTTTACAAAATGCAAGAATAAAACAATATTTGCATTTTGTGTTCTCAACCAACATTACCTTAGTTCCTTCTCTTTTGTGTATTTACCCATGTATAATTTCCTTCTACAGCAGGTTTTCTGTTATTATTCAGTTTGATTTTTATGTAAGACCTTTGCACTTAGCAGTGTGTGGCATCTGCCTGATTTCTGATCCTTTTGAGATGGAATCAATTTCGTTTTATGAATGAGAAACCTACATAATTATATTAAGTCAGGAGGAATTGTAAAAAGCAAGATAGAGGGAAAAAGGGTGTAATAGAAGGAAGTAAGAAATAAGGAAAAATATAGATATATAAAGAGGTGGAGGGATGGAAGAAAGACAGATTTGCTGGTTATCAAGAGGCAGTGAGTGAAAGATGGAAAGGGTAATATATATATATAGAGACTGCTGGTTGTTGACTTTAATGTTCACTTTGTGCAATTATTAGTAACTTGGAATAAGCAAATGCAGTTGAAATTTTGGTTGCTACTGATTGGTATTAAAAACACTTTTTGGAAAAGCAACAAATCTATTTTTGCACTGTCTTATTAAAAAATCTTTTTGATAATATTTGTCATAATGCAATTAAAAGATTGAATATAATCAGGACACGGGTCACTAGATTTGAAACAAATACATTCACAAGTCACAAATTCTTTAAAATGAGGTTTTATATCATGTAATGAATAATTGCTCACTTTATTTTAGTGTCTTATGAAGTTATTAGGTATGTACAAAAGTTTCCCACAGAAAAACTTGTGTTCAATTATGTATTGTTTCTAGTTTTCCAAAATAGGAGGAATTTTGGGTATATTTCATATATATTCCCTAGATGAGTGACTGCTGTGGAATATAAAGTATTGTAAACTTGTGTGTGTGGTGTAATGGATAACAGCTCAGAATTGGAGATCAGTCGTGTTCATTATATTTGTTTTGTGCAAATACCATTGAGAAATGTATAAATCCATCTCTTCTCCCAACTGGCTTTATTAGTAGGACTTATATCAGTAAATTGTTATCTCCAAAAATTCTTACAATCTAAAAATATTTTTTATCTTTAAATAATCTACAAAAGGTTGATAATCCATAAAAATTCATATATTCCTTTTGTGCTAATCTCTCAATTTTGGATATTGTTCAATGGCTCTGGGTTTTCAATATTACAGGGTGTTTTGACTGAAATACCCCCCCCCCTTCTTCTTCTTCTAAAGAAAATTCTTTAGCTTATAAATAAAGGATATGCAGTAGCTAGTCAAATGTTTTTTAGGTAATGAATTGGGTGGTCAATTTGAAAATGTTCATTTAAAATCTGGTCTTCATCGAAATCCATGAGCTGTTTGCAAGTTGATTATTAAAATAATGTCAATTGATAAATTTTTTTTTTTTTTTTTATCATATTATAATTTTGCTTGTTTCTTAGTACATATGTTATGTACTATTTTAATATACCTGTTTTCTGCCCACAAATCTCATATACAATGGGCCATTCCTGAGAAATTGCCTAAGAAATTTCTTTCATTTTAGTCTTTTTTTTTTTTTTTTTTATTTTCAGGTATCACAAATTTGGTATTTGATTCAAGCTATACAAAACTATTTGCCAGCTGCAAAGATAACAAAATTTATCAATATGATTTTGCCAGTTATTCACCTCGTCCAGGTATTTTTATTATTTTATTTATTGCTAAGCTGATTAAGCATTGATACTCTGAAGAAGTAGAGAATGAAATATATCTATTTGTATTGTTTGTAGGTTGAGATGATAGAACTTTGATTGAAATTGAAAATTACTTCCAGGTATTGAATATAATTCAAAACTGCCAAAATGAGAAATATTTTTCTCATGACCAAAGTTTGAAGTTCTGTTTTTGTTGGTCTAATAAATAATATTCAGAGCAACTTTAACCCTTTTTAGCATTCCTGTAAATATTGGCTCTCAAATTTTCACGGTTTGCAGTCAGTCTTACTGTTTGTGTGACTTCCTGCGTTATTTGCAATGATGTTGATATATATATATATATATATATATATATATATAATAGCAGAATATAAATGAGGTGGGTTACAGCAGGTTGAACACTGAGAACCGATATTTATGGGCATGGATTTTGGCAGATTGAATACTAAAGAAAAATAAAAGGTTAAATCTTAATTTTAGGAATATGAAAATTTTTCAACTAATCCAATAAATTATTTTTTAAAATAGATATTAAACTAAATAAATTTAATTGATAAATTGGTTATAGGAGTTTTTATTTCTGTTATATAAATGTAATATAACTGAAGAATAATTTTGAGCATACTTAATTTGATGACATAATCTTGAGTTTTGAATAAAGTGTCTCAAGATAGTGAGAGGTCAAAATTTAATCAGAAGGAAAATCTGAAAATAGAGTATTATTAATCCAGAATTTAGTTTATTTTAGTAAGTTTGGGGGTGGGGATAAAACCTGGGGGCAAGGGTAACAATTGTCTAAAGGTTTTTGGTGGTGTGTGTTTTTATTTCTTTTTTTTCTTTAAACACCACTTCAGTGCTACAGGCTTACGGCTACATCACATTGAAACATGATGTATGATCACTGAAGTTAAGCAACATTGAACCTGCTCAGTACCTAGATGGGTGACTGCTTGGGAATACCAGGTATTGTAAGCTGGGATGTGCAGATGGTGTAATGGATAATGGCTTGGAATTGTTAATCGGAGAGCAGAGTTCTAATTTCCATTGGGTTCGTTATATTCACTTATATGCAAATACCCTTGGGTAAGGTGTGAATCCACCACTTTCAACTGCTATGAATGAATTAGTAAGACTTGTATCACTAAACCTTTATTATCCTAAAAAAAATCTTAATATCTAAAACATTTTCTGGTTTTAAATAACCTGCAAAGGGTTGATATGCCATAGAAAACAAATTGATCAATTCAGTGCTACAGATAAGGGAATCATCACAACAATCAAGAAATAGATCAGTGTAACATGTTGTATGTCATCGTCAGTGAAGATTTATCAATTCACTCATAATGAAGGCTACTTTGATTATGATTGCTGGTTCTTGGGGCAAACCATGAATATTCACAGGGTATTGGAACAATGGCTTGTGTTGCTAGCTGCAACAAGTGGATACTCATCTAGATCAAAGTGTAACCACTGAAACCATTGAAAATTGCAAATATTTGGAGATTTTGTAAAGGTTGAGGTAAACTGACAATGACAGGACAGATACTTGGCAATGTTTATTTTATTACTAGCAGCATGGCCCCGGCGTTGTCCGTGCTTGATTCAAAAATCGTATGACTCATACAGCAATTGCTATCACTTGACTTAAAATATTTTTGCCCTTCCTTGCCTTTAAAGGAGTGCCCTTTGCCGTGCTGATGTTGCTACATGCCTTACTTCTTGCCTATCTCACACTGCAAATTTTTTCTAAGCTCTATACTAAACATTAAATCTGTTATGAAAAAAGAACTAAACAAAATGAACACAAAACGATCAACTTTAAAAAAGGACTCGTAACTGGGAAAACCGAATGAAAAAATGTTAACAACAAATACTTTTTCACACCCAACCCAGTTCTGCGGAATCAGAATCAACGTTGAGTTTAAGCAAGTGAATGAGCCAATTGGAGTAAAGTGCCATGCAGATTTAAATTTTTTTTTTTTTTTTTTGCATGCTAGCATGCTAGTTAACATTTGTGTCAGTCAGCTGTTGGCTCTCACGCTGGCCAATAGAATCTACCTGCCTAATCGTGGCAGCCAGCTATTGGCTCTCACTCTGGCTAGTAGAAAATGGCCGCAAACTACACGAAAACTGCTGTAGAAGCATGAAAAAATCGATTATTTCCACTATCGATTGGAGTTGGGAAATGCAATGTTGGTCTTGGCCTTCCTGCTAACTTGGAGCATGTGAATGTAAATTTTGGTGCAAATCTGTTGAAAATTGCGGCCGTGCATTCGTTACGCACACACACACACACACACACACACATCCTGCCTTTTATAGATAGCGATCAATATAATCACAGAAGAACAGCAGGGAAGTACAGATATCATTGATTATAAACCAAATCAATATCTGTCTATATTTCTGAGATGAGGTATTATGTACACTATTTACATTATTCAGACTATTTTGGCCGTTATATGCTCCAGCCTTCTTCAGGTGGTTGGAATGTTGAACTGAACCCTTTATTTCGTTCGCTGGGGTAGACTGTTCTAGTTCCACATGCTATGTCTAATGGATGTCAGTTATCAGTTATCTCCTGTTAATTCACCTCTCTAAGTTCTCCACTGCCTCAACCAGGTATTGAACTCACAACTCTTTGGGTCCTGTCACTGGATCTGACCAATGCCTTTATCCACTGGTTATCCATTGTCATGTGTCCTTAAGGATAACCAGTGGATAAACCAAATCAAATACCAGCACTTCTTACAGTTTCCCATTGATGACACTATCATCAATTTGCAATTTTTCATAGTAGTATAAAGTACCAGATGAAATGAACACCATTGAGTTAATATATCTTTGTCAAATGCTATTGCTGGCAAACACAAAGACACACAAGATCCTCAATCAACAGTGACTATATTTTCCTCACAAAACAATTACTGATCATTGCCTCAATGAACTCTCTATTTTCTTTGCCTATATATATATATATATATATATATATATATATATATATATATGATTTCTTGAATTTTAAGATTCATGTTTTCATTATTTAAATGACAGCTAATTTAATTTTATTTGTAAAATATTGGATTGTTAAGCACTATGGTGGGGTTTTACTCATTTTATTGATTGAATGGATGTGCAGGTGGTGTAATGGATAGCAGCTCAGAATGAGAAATCGGAGAGCAGAGTTCTAATTCCAATCAAGTTTATTACATTCACTTATGCATAAATACACTTTGGAAAGGTATGAACCCATCTCTTCTCTCCAGTTATGGAGAAATAGCATGACAGACTTGACCTTTATAGATTTGTTTGGCAACCAATGTAGAAGGAAAACTCTGAATTCAAACCAGCCCGGATAAGATTGGATACTGCCAGGCTAACTTGCTCAAGACACTCCACTGTTGCTACAGCTGCAGTACATGTGGTGTCCCCTATAACACTTGTGGGATATGGGACTTGCGATTGATTAAATGAAAGCACACAATTTTTTATGCAGTGTGGCTTCCTTTATGATTGAATCAGTTATCCACCTACTTCATTTAGATAACTGACATTCCATTGTATACTGTTTTATAGCTATGGTTTATTTGTTTATCTTTTAGATAATCTTTGCCTGTTTGATGGCCTTTATTTGCTTCCTTACAAAGGCAAATATGACAGGTTTAATGGGTTGGAGGCAGATGTGTATGTGTGAGTAAAAGAAAAATTGTGCAGTTTCTGCAGCAAAGGGTTTTTTTTTTAGATCAAGCCACAACTCCCCTTTTTTTTTTTTTTTTTTAGTGTAATGGGGAAATGCTGCAGCAGTGATGAAACTCCCAGGGATCAAGCACATATGCATCACTTTTCTGCTATGTCTTATCCAAAAATCATCAAGAATGATTTTAATGTTAATGGGCAAAGATAACTGCTGTGTGGTTTGATATGGAGAAACCCGTTTAAAAACATTTCTCTAGTCTTGATTATATTTCTGCTTTGCAGTGAGACTTTACACTTTTCCACTAAGGGGAGGAGGTATTTGAGAGAAACAGTTACCATAAATGACACATCGGTGCAGAGGGTGCACTTTGACACTCACACATTTTGAATAAAATTAAGTCATAATTAAAATCAATAAAAACTGAAAAATCATTTTTACCCTCAGAGAAAATCAGAAAAGGGTAAAATATCAGATATTTTACCTTTTTCTTGAGTTTTAAGCTATTGGCATTTAAAGAAATGTTTTAATGATTGATTGGAAGTCATAGTTATAGATTCAGTATTCAGAATCCACTCTACTCAATCCCAAAGCATTGAAACATCTTACAGGGTCTTGATTTTCTTTTCTTTTTTAATATTTGGGAAAAGTCTTTATGAGTAATGATTGATAATGCTCTTGTTCATTTGCAGTTAAAATCTTCCAGGGTTTTGAAAATGCTTCCTTCTACATTAAATCTTCCATCAGCCCATGTGACCAGTACCTCATAAGTGGATCACATGACAATACAGCATATATATGGGATGTATGTACAATTTTGTCTTTAACTACTACTCTGTATATTTGTTAGATAAGTGAAAACATGTTATAAAATTTTGGAATTGATGGATTTTTTTGTTTTTATTTTTTTTATTTTTTTATTTTTTTTAATTTCATGAGTGAAGCTAGATATAAGATTTTAAAAAAGTAGTTAAAATAGTTAATTTAAATATTTTCTGGACAGATTTAGAACTAGTTAAAAAATCCAAAAAAAAATCACCGTTTTTGCTGCATATATAAAATTATTTGACTAATTTCATAAGCAAAATATTTGGAGTACTGATTTGAACTTTAAATATTGAATTTTTTTCTTTAACATGATTGGTTTTTAAAATTTTATATATAATATATATATGTGTGTGTACACTTGAAGGATCACTATTAATGCTTATCTTTGCTTTGTTGTACAAGAGCTACAGAAACATTTTTAACTTGGTTCACTACTCAAAATCCAGTCAAACACCAATTTTGTTTATTTAAAGGTTTGATTGATTTGTTTTTTTACAGTTTATCAACCCTTTGTAACTTATTTAAAGCCAAAATATATTTTGCATTGCTAGATTTTTTGATTTTTTTTGATACTGCATTAAGAATATTGAGAATAACAATGATTTCCTATATGCATACCTTACTATTTAGACCATAGCTGTAGTTTATTTAAAAGGTTATGAAACTTTCAGTATACCATATATATATATATATATATATATATATATATGTGTGTGTGTGCACACACACACACACACACTGAATCCAAATATTATAAGCAGCCACTAATAACAATTGTACAAATCAAGGTTGAAGTATATAAGCAGCTTAGCTTGTTTCAAGTGCATCAATTTGAATGTTAAGAAGGAATATGAGTGACTTTGAAGGCCAAACTGTTACAGCCAGAAGACTGGGTTAGAGCATTTCCAAAATGACATGTCAGCAGTCATGCAAAAAGGAAAAAAATAGGTGGCAAAGACATTTATGCAAGAAGTGAACTGAAGATATCCTGCCAAGTATAAGCTAGCAGTAGGACTACTCTAGCATGACTTGCAGGTACCTTTAATCAAGGTGGAAGAAAGAATATATAATAATGCAAGATACATTGATAATTTTGCATATGAGTACCCATATCAACTAATTTTTATCACCAGAAGTGTTTTCATTGGGTATGCAAGTGTCAGAATTGTCTATTGTACCAATATTTTCAAATGAATCTTAACTCTCTCCTGAATAAGGTTAATGGCTGAGCACATTGTTCTGGAGAAGCAATGGAACCAAAATGCACTGTGATAAAACAATTTAGTAGAGGTAATGTGATGGTTTGGGCAACATTCTGCTTCAAATCACTGGGTCCTATCATTTACATGGAAGTTACCACCTGTCTTCCCTTTATAGTAAGTCTCGTTTGATGGCAATGGCATGTTTCAACAGGACAGTGTGCCCTGCCACATTGCATGAGATGTAAGAGTATGGTTTCAGAAGCATGAAGAAGACTTCATTTCTTTTGTTACCAAACTCTCCAGATCTCAGTCCCATTGAACATTTACAGAATGTATTGAATCAAAAAGTTTGCTCTGCAGAACTTCCACCACGTAAGTTACAGTAGTTAAGGTTATCATCGCACCATATCCCTTTAAAGAGTTGTTTTGTAAACACATGGGTACCAACACCTTAAGCAGGTAGTCACAATGTTTTGGTTCATCTTGCACATAAACCTTTTTTCTAAGCATGGTTTTCCACTTTCAGATTTTTTTTTTTTGTTAGTCTAGAAACAAAATTTCAATAATATACCTGAGTCTATCTTCTGTTATTACGACACTAAGCAGCTAAACACGTTCATTGTACATCACACACTCACACTATGGCCCTTACATACATATATATATATATATATATATATATATATTAAATAAAAACAGACCACTTTAAGGTTCCATGTAATAAATTATTTCACCACAGCCCTTTTAACGACTGTGGATCATCAGACTTTACTTCCAAAACCTTTTGGAAGTAAAGTCTGATGATCCGCAGTACTTTAAGGGCTGTGGTGAAATAATTTATTACATGGAACCTTAAAGTGGTCTGTTTTTATTTAAATTATTTGCTCTGGATTTACATTGAGCTCTCTGGATTTTATCCTCCTTAGGTTTACCCATACGGATTACCTAGTTTTTCATAAACTAATATATATATATATATATATTAAAAACGATGTGTTCAGCCTTCTCTTGGATTGATATATTATTCAAACTTTACACCAACACTTTTTTATAAAAGTCATAACTAAGCTTAAATATGAACAAAATTAAACCACAAATATCACAAAATGGAGATCATCTGTATTATCTATCGTAATTATATAAACTTGTCTTAAGATAGACCAGAAACTCAAGTACAAATCTTCATCTGTACTTGTGATCATCCGAGGTTGAGAGCTATTATTACCCAACTGTGCATCATGCATGCCAGCTAAGCAAGCAAGTGTAGCTGACTTATTTCACTCAGGTAAAGGTTTGTCCTTCCACTGCATGTGACTTCAATCATTGAATGATAGTCTGTTTGAATTTTGAAGTTGTGTTGTCATGTCCTACTATGGCAACATAAAACTTGATTAAAATGACAATGAGGGTTATTGCAGTGAAATAGGAAGTAATATTTGTGAACAACGCAGTGTGCCAATGGTTATGAGGTTGCTTGGACATTGATGGTGTTTGCTACCAAGTCTTGACAATAGTGAAAGAGAACTCAAATTTCTGTGACTGCCTTAATTCAAGAATGTTATACCAAGTAAAATTTAGTAGACATTAGAAGATCTTAAAGTTTTTATTCTTTCATCTATCAAATTTATTATATTTACTATATTTTTTTGTGGGGCTAAGCAGTTTTCAAACATGAAATATTTTTTGCAAATCATTTTCTAGATATTTTCTTTATTTCATGATACCAAATGACCTAAGCATATTTAATAGAATTCATGTTGTCAGACTGACTTTGACACAATCTTTCATTCTAGCATTTTACACCTTGGAAAAAGATGTAGATTTTGTCCAAATATTCACTGCTCACCATTGGATATTGGAAGTCCTTCCTGAAGAATGGATATTTTTTTTTTGTAAATTGTTATTCTCCATTTACCCTAGGAGCCCTGAGCAATCAACATTTCTATACCACAGCTGAAAATCCGTCATATTTGATAGTGAGCTGCAGGTGGTGAAAAAATTTGGTTTAGTAATTTCAATGCTTGCTTTTCTGCTGTTCAAAAAAGATAAAAATAAAATAATGTTACCACTTCTCTCTCTGCAAGTAATTTTCAAAATGTCTAATTAGGTATTCTATAAACTATATACAAAAATTGTTTAAAAGACTTGTAATCAATTTTTTAGAGTTATGTAACACATTTGATTTTTATGGTGTTTTAAATTAGAAAGTGAAATGTCCACAATTCTAATTTGAACAATTTTCTATTTTTAGATTGAAAACTCTTCTGGTTATCCATGTACACAATTGACTGGCCATACAGCAGAAGTGACCACTGTAACTTGGTCACCATATGATTTTGGCAAGGTAAGATTTTTTTAAAAATTCTTTAAAGAAGAAGGTGCCATTAAATCTTTGAAATTAATATAGAACAGCATTTCCCAACCAACGCCCCCTTTCAAACAAACATTTTGTCAACAATGACCCCCTCCCCTGTCAAATTAAATTTCAAATATTATACTGAATTCATCTTTCATAGCAAGATAACCCTTAGACATTAGTGCAAAAACAATTTTAATATTGTTTTCATTTCTATTATAAATGCCAATGATGAAAATCCTAAAAAAAAAAAAAACTTATTTGATAGCTTATCTGAATGTTTTCAATGCGGTGGTTGACTTTGGTGCTTACTGGTAAAGGCTCTTACTCTAGGTTCCATGTTTCTTGGAAGTAATCGTAAGTCACCTATTTTTGTAATTTGCAGGCGGTTTTCTTTGTTTAGTAAGAAGCTCTAACTACATTCAGCCGTATAGGAAGTTGAAAAAGCAATGAGAGTTTGATAGCTTCCCACAGTACTTTCAGAAATTTCCTTTTATAGCCAGTATTGAATAATTTTTGAAAATCTGAAAAAAATGGATACATGCCCACCACCACCTGAGTACCCCCCCCCCCCCGAATGAAATTTAAAAAAAAACTCCCAATGCCCCCTTTCAACATAAGAGCCCACAAGGGGGTGTTATCGCCCACTTTGGGAAACACTAATATAGAACGTGGCACCAATCAAAAAAGCCAAGTCTTGTTTTAGTATTTTCTTTCTTTGTTAGTGTTTTGACATATCCTGACATATTTATACTTGTGAGTGCATTTATAAATTATATAAATATTTATCAAAATTAAATTGTTTACAATACTAGAAAACATTTCACTTTCTAGTTTTATTAATCTAATTGTTATTGCGTGTTAATCAATTTTGTTTGAAAGACTTATTTTCTGTATTTTTTGCCTTTTTTAACATGTTTTGTAACTTTATTACTGACAAGGAATTTGTGGAATGTGAAATGTACAATATAAAATTTGTATAAATAGTTGAAAATTAAAATGTTAAATAAATTAATAAAAATAAGGATTTATAAATGGAATTGTGATGCCAGCTTGTAAAAAAAAAAAAAAAAAACTTGTCATAGCAACAGGTATGATATTAACATGTACTATGGCTAATTTTTTTGCCATTTTAGTATTAGAAATAAAATACCATATAATTTGCTATTTTATGATTGATAGCAGCCCTCATTTTATGTGAATGTAGAATGGAGAGAGAAGTAAACAAACAGAATTTCTTGATTCCAACTGGATCACTTAAAGCAGTAAGTTGCAAGCCCATGGAAATAACAGGCAATTCAGCTGCCAAGTCTGCTCAAGAAATGCCTGTTGACAACTAGATTCAAAATTTTGTATACAGATGTAAAAATAAACAACTTTGTCTAAAATAAATGGCAACTGAGCTGGAACAACAGTGCACATAATAAACTCCTCTCAGTGAAGCCTACTTTGAGAGTAGGAGTTATAGAATGTTTTGATGACCTTTTCCCAATTATCTATTTGCCTCAAAAGAATCCTCCATTCGTTTTAGCCTACACTTGAGGCTCTGTACACAGTGAAACATTTTGATTTTGTGCCCATATAAGACAAAGATTTTACAGTGTAAACAATATAAAAGAATTGTTTGAAATAAGCGTTATACTCTTTTTTTTTATTTATTTATTTATTTATTTTTTTAAGGTAGTGAGTCTATATTTAAAAATATAATGAACTAATAGACATTATCTCAAACACTGTCCTAATTGTGGTTGCCATATTCTAACATTTCTTGGAGCAAGTTGTGTTAATATTTGCACTATTTACACATTTTGGATTATTATCCTTATCTTCGGTATCGAGTTCACAATGTTTCTGAAATAAGACATTGTTATTATTTACATAAAGTAGATAACTGTTCTTCTTGATTGTTGTATTTTAGAGATGAGGAATTATTTATGCACCTTTGACTACAGTTGCCATTTGGTTGTTACATTCACAGCATCTATGAGATGAGTCATTATTTGCACCTGAACATTGATATGCAAACCAAATGTGATTGCATATAAACACTGACACTGTAATTACATTTGAACATTGACAACTGAAGTGTGGTTTCAAAAAAAATGATTGTAGTGGAATATTGAAAATATGAATAATTATGAGTCGTGTTAGTAGGATGTAGAATAATATCCAAACAAAAGGGGTGATAATGTGACAAAATGTAATAACTTGTTGAATCAATTTGTTTCACCTCTTTATGGAAGGCATCTTCAGATCAGAAATGAAAGATAAACTCATATGTAAGGAAAATGTGTTAGAAGCCATTAATGTCTGATAGATTTTAAATTAGCCCAGTTCAAACTTTTTGGCTATAACATCTTATAAAGATATTTATTAGCCATTCCTCAAAAATTCCAACGCACTTTGCTTACACATAGGTTTGTCTCTCGTTCTGTCCTGAAGATGCCTTCCATAAAGAGGTTAAACACATTACCAGAACAAACTTTTACGCCTTGTCTCAATAGTTATGCTTGTAATGAAACATTAGTAAAAGAATCCAGTCTGGAAACAAATAACCAATAAGGGGTTGGTATGCTGTTAAACAAAATAAACCAATCCATGATTCTTGTATCAAATTTCTCAATGCTTGAAAAGAGAAATTTCATGAAGGCTTATTGGTAATTTTGTGTTTTTTTTTTTTTTTTTTTTTTCTGTTCAAGTTCTACCAATGTGTCTTTAGTTGGTTACATGATCTTTCATCACACCATGTTATGGATATGAGACCTGTCTTTTGATTACAACAGAATGATCTACTTTGATTACATTGCTAAATATTCTTATGTTATTTTGTACTATTCTCATCTTGGTTAATATAGATGTTATTATAGACACATTTTGACTGAGTATCTTCTGGATATCATCAGGTGTCCATTGATTGGCTGATATGGGATATCTGTTGATTATTGTGATGTCTGTTACTGTTAATTCCTGTTGAATTTGATATGTCATTGCCAGATCTAAGGATTAAACTCATGGCCACTAGATGACAATGTCCTTTGGGACAGTGATATAGTGGATATAGGAGTTGGTTATACATGTATTACTGTCATCTAGTGGTAAGAGTTCAATTCTTGGATCTGGTATTGATGCACCAAATCAGCAGGGACAAACAATAACTGATATCACCGGGGTAAAATATAATAATCAACAGATATCCTATATCAGCCAATCAACAGATACCTGATGATGGCCAAAGCGTACTTGGTTGAAACATGTCTATAATAACGTCTATATCACCCAAGTTGAGAACAATAGTTTGAAATAATACAAGGATATTTATAATTACTCCTCTCAGAAATTAAATTATTTCTAAATATATTACAAATTTAATGGTGCATAACATCAATTTATTTCTTAATTTTGTAGATTGCTACGCTGTCAGATGACAACACATTAAGATTGTGGAGGATACAACGTAACAGAAGATTGATTGAAAAAGATTCAAATTGGGGAACTGCTTGCAAATATAACATTCCATTTTGTGAGTATAAAATCCTTTTCTTGCATATGTAGCCTTATAAGGTACTTGCCTTGGCTATTTTGTGTGCAAATCTCTAATAAATAGATGAAATTGAATTGATTGAATAAATCTACCTTTCATTTATTCATTCTGGTCTCTCTTCAGTAAGATCTTCACCTGTTAGCTTTTCTCTGACATTACTCTTTGCCAAATTTTATGTGCCTGTTACCTGTTGGGGAAATATGGGATTTTTTTATTCTCTTCCTTATTAACCTTTACCACAATTTCTTTCTAGAATTGTTCCCCCTGCTACTGTTTTATTTTATTTATTTATTTATTTATTTTATTTTTTTTTGAGGGTGCAAAAACATGAACACCTACTGTTTTAAAAATTGTTATAACTTTTTTTTTGTATTGAGCGTATAGATTGTAATTTTTGTACACTAATAAAAGAAATGAATGAGTAATATTTTGATGTAACATGTTATGTTTTGCATGAATGTTTTGACGTTGAAAACAAAAAAATTGAAACAAAATAAAAAATGCAAAATAAAAAAAAACAAATACATTAAAAAAAAAAACTACATAAATAATTCAGTGTACTTTAACTTTTATTATTCCTTGAAGAGATTTGGGGGTGCAAAATCGCTAAAAGAGGCTTTTCTTTTGTCAAAAAAGTGACGTGTCTCCTCGTGTTTGCATATGAGAAGACACTAGCATTTGCTTGTTCTTTCTTTCACCTGACTCATTTATTTGTCTCATTGACGAATAGCTATTTCGTTGTTTATAAATAGACAAAATAGTTTGCCTTCAGAAAGGCTATCAGATATATTGATGGTTGCCAGTAGCTTCCATAAAATTACTCAAGCATGGATGATAGTAGTTGCTAGTGGTCAACTTTGCTTTCCTCCATGTCACTAACGTGATTATCATCTCCGACCAATTCATCGTCTATATCCACTTATTTAAAGCCTTCAAAATCATCATTGGAGTCCCAATCATAGAAAAACTCCTGAATAAAGGCTTTGTTGGATATTGACATGACCATTTTTGTTTACAAAAAATTACGAAAAAAAATTAACGTGGGTTTAATCAATGTTATACCTTGTGTAGAATCTAGAAAAATTCAAAATGGTGTTGGTAAACAGAAGTTTAGCCTTGTTCCAAATCAGTAGTAGGTGATTTCCAGCTTAAAATACCGGAAATAACAGTTGACAAATGTTCATTTATAGCAACCATCTCAGGTGACAGAATGTGCCTAGAGTAGTAAAGGGAGAGAATTCTACGGTGATTATTGTCGCCTTCATTTGGTAAAGGTTAAAATGCACTGCAGAATTTATCCAATTTCTGCTACTTAAAAAAAAAAAAAAATATTGAACAATATATAACTGTTATTTTATTTTTTACAGGTGACCACCCTGTGATATTGTCACCCAGCTTTTCAGATTTAACCAATGAAAGGCCTTTTCCTGTAACTCCAGATCCTCAGAAACCAAGCCAGTCGTCATCTCCACCTTTGTCTTTAGTGGGTTGGTTAAAGACGAATGCTTATCCAAAAAATAAGTATGATTACACTCCAATCAGTGAAAGCCCAGAAAATTCTGAAGCCCCAAAGAGTTGTGAAAGTTCCCAGTTGAAACAAAATAGCTCTGTCAATGGAAAAACCAAAGTTTTTGCAAAGAGAAATCTTGAAAATTCCTATGATGAGTTACAGTCTTGCAGCAATCCAAGCAAAAGATGCAAGATTCTTCGAAGTCCTAATCAGGGTGATGAAAAATTAGCTATTAAGCTTGATGATGTTGACACTGAAGATGGCCAGACTGAAATAACACAATGGCTTAATGAACATAGTGTATCTGATATTGAAAGGGAGTCTCAAGAGGAAAACCTTTCACCTTGTCAAGCAAGGACAAAGCAAAATCGATTATCAGAAGCACCTTTTGAACAGACTTCCACTAGTCCACATGCAGGTGGAGCACTTCAAAAAACTATTGTTCAATCCTTGATTCCTCTTTCTGCAATTCTCAAAACTCCTACAAGACAAAATCTTCACTCAAGATCCTGTCACTCAGCAAACAAAAAACATCACCCCAAAACCCCAAACAGTTCCCGCAAAACTCCTCATAAATCCTCCCCAGTGGTGAGTAAAACTCATTAAAATTTTTAATCTAGTGTAACATACTGGTTTGATGATTTTTTTTGATTTATGAACATTTAAAAATGACTACTGTGTATGATATTCTTTACTAAAGGCCAAGTCACAGTGCATCTCTTGCCCGTAACTGGAGGTCTATCTCAAATCTCATCATTCCACTGGGAGCAAAGATTTTTAGTTTGGGTATGCAGTAGTTCACTGATGTAGTCAGCTTAAGAAATTCAAAGAAAAGAGAGGGATTAAGAGCATGATTTGGCTCAAACAGTTAATCCTCCTTATCTTGAAATATGTTTTCTTTAAAGTCTTATTACGATTAATTTATATAATTTGGCAGACCATCAGATCTATTATTTTCCACCTCATTAACAAGGGTGTACAAAATGATACGTGCATTTTTATTTTCAAATTATCAACATTAAAACAGTTTTAATGAAGCAACAATCTTATCTAAACTTGAATTCTGAAACAAAATTATTTATTTTGTTTTATAAACATTTTTGTTTCATGTTTGTTTGAAAATAACTTATTTTATTGTTTAGAATTAAAGTAACTATTGTCATGCTGACTTATTTTGTCATGAATATACCTTTTTTTTTTATGATCATGAGTAGAAAAGTAGAAATAGAAAAAATATTGACTCTTAAAAATATATGGTTTAGTCACAGGGTTAGTTAACATTTTGTACACCTTGTTTATGATTTCTAAATATTGGATTAAATTTATTGAATTTAATTATATTAACTTTACCTAACAATGTTCTTAAATGACTTTTTTATTAATTTTTTTAGCATAAAATATCATGTTTGCTCTTATTTTGTTTATTAATGGTAAATTAAACTAAAATTCAACAGGCTGTTTTAACCTTTATCACTCTGTATGTGACTTCATTTGCTGTACAAAAAGTTTATCCTGCCACTAAAGTTAGCTGATCTCTAAACAATGTGTTTGACTTTCATAGTTGTGTTGTCATATCCTTCTATGTCAACAGAAAACAACTTTGAGTAAAATTAACAAGGATACTGCAGTTGAGCTGCCTTGAAAAAGAATGCAGTGAAAAAGTAATTAATATTAATAATGCAGAGTACTAATGGTTAATTCAATTATTGATCTCATCTTTGTTTATAGATATTATAGACAGCATTTCAGTCAAGTACTCTCTAGCTATCTCCAGATGTCCATTATTTTGAAAGGAAAGTAATATTAATAATGCAGAGTGCTAAAGGTTAAAAATACCATTTTAGAAAGAAAAACAAAAATTACTCATAAAAATTTAATTTTATCAATATATTTGTTATGAATAATAATATCATAGAAAAAAATATTATATTAAGTCTGTAACAATAATTTCCCATTGTAAAAACAAAATCAAAGAAAAAAGTTACTTGGGCGAGTCCTTCCTGGTAGTAAAAAGAAACTAACAGCTTTATATCTCCTGCTAAGACAACAGGAAGATGGGCCGCAATCAGATGGTTTTGTGACCAATTCAAAATTCCCATGTATGTAGGATTTGACAGAACCTTAAATTCTGCTGTATGTGTTAATTCACTACACAAGCAAATCGAGTCACTCCTTTAAAGATTGCTAAATTTTCTGTCTCAAACTAGTAGTTATGAGTGAGTGGAATGAATCTTTCAGCTTTTTGAGGCCTTCTATTCATCCTCTTACATATGTTTTCTCTTAGTCATTGTTAAATTTATCTTTTATTCTTTAATAAATTGCTTTCAATAAGAGATGGCTTATTAAAGCTGAAAGATCTGGACTCTACTACATGTATCCAATGCATGAGTTACTTTCACAATGCCTCTTGTCCAATTTTCTATTGACATCTTGTTAACTATTGCTAGTTACCTTCAAATGCCTTAAATAGAAAAAAAAAACTCTTAAATTTGTTGACAAAATAATGTCAGTCATCATTTCTGACAAATCTGAGTGTGCTAAATGTTTTGACTGTGTCATCTGTTCCTATTCAACTTAACTATATCAACAAAATAACTCTCTTGTAAAATCTACTTATTAAACCTCACCTTTGTTTTTCTAAGATGCTACATTAGTATATAAAATTTACTGTGATTTCCCTACAAATTAATTTTGATGAATGCACTTACATCTTTTATCCGTGTTGTAAAATAAATGGTGACCATATTACAGTAATTTTATAGTTGCATTGGTTATATTTTCTGCCTGAGTAATGTAATTTTTTTCTCTATATAATTCACCCTGTTGTCAAATATAAGAAATTTTACTTTTTAAACCATTAAAATAAACATATCCAAAAAATGGTAACATGAAACAAAAGAAATTAGAAAAAAAGCAATGTATGAACAACCTATTTGCACTACTTACTAATGGGATTCTGTTATGTTAACTTAAGGCAGGTTTACTTAATGGTAATGAAACATGTCTCCTGTGACAATAATAATGGAATATCTCATTAGCAAATAGGGGAGATCAGGCTGTATTACCAATAAATAGTAATATACTGTTTTATATTATAGATATGTTGAAGAAACTTTGGTATGTGTTATTCCAACTTAATTTTGCATAGGTTTTTCCATTAAATTGAGTTTTGTAGCAGTCTTAAGGTTTTTTTAACATTGATTATAAAAACTAGTTGGGTCATGAAAATGCCATGGTATTTGAATCTGAGTTGTCCTCCTGAACTGCCTGCCACTAAAGGATAGAGAGCTTAGTCTACTCTGTTATTTAACCCATAGCTGTGGTGGAAAAGAAATGGATTCATGTCTTTCCCAAGAGCATTTGTGTGTAAGTGAAAACAACAAATGAGAACAAAACTTGAACTCGGTTCAACAATTTCACTTTTCAGATCAGTAATTTTTATTTTTAGTTACTTTCCCAGGTATAAATTTTCAATTATAATTCAGACCACCATCTTTTTTATTTTGTATTATTATTTATTATTAGATGAAGAATTATCAATTAATTTTTAGTTTTTCTTTAAAATTGCAAAGCTTAAAAGCATTTAATTTTTCAATGAAAAATTTTCATTTTATTTTCTTTAAATTGAACTACTTTTTATTACAGTTTCAGATTGTCGTTTTACAGCCATGAGTATAGAGCCATGGTTTATGAATTCAATATATTACTACAGGTACCATTAGTTTTATGAATAGGTGTTGAATATATAAAAAAAATTCTTCTCTCTGTAAGGGTGGATTTGAAAATGGGTGGAGGGATGCTTTCTTATTCACCTCCAGATCTGTGAGTGAAACCTAAGTACAGATGCAAAAGGTTTTTTTTTTTTTTTGAAAGACTATGCCATCATTGTGGCAGTTTGATCAAATTGTGACATTTTTCTTTTCTGTAACATAACACTAGGTTTTAAAGAGTTTAAAAAATATAGAAGTTTGTCACACTAGAGACTTATTCTTTATTTCCAATCCATGCTCTTTATGGATGACCATAAAACAGCCTTAAAAATTTTTTTTTTAATTGAGTTCACCCCAAGCAAGGAAGTAAAGTTGCTAAGATACAAAGGGTTACTGGGTGGCAAAAGAATTAGAAAGAGAGAAACATTACTAAGGAGGGAGAACAAAGGAAGAGTAATCAGGAGGACAGTAGATAGTGGTTGATATTGCATTTAAACTTTTGAAGATTAAAGTTGGCTGGAAAGCATAGAGCCAGAAGGGAGTTCCACAAGCAAGAAGTGCGAGAAAAGAAACTGTTAGCATAGAACTTAACATTACATCTAGCCAACTCACCTGTAAATTGATGAGGCCTTGTTGCCAGTCTAGTGGGAAAGTGATTAAAGCCAAGATATCAGATCAAGACCAATAATATTGCTGATTCTTCTTTGGATTTTATCAAGGATCTCTAGATATATAGTAGGAACACCAGGCTATATGTGGCAGCAATATTCTAAGCATGGACAAATGGTAGACTTACAGATATGTAAGATAGATTCTGGAGAGAGATTGTCTAGCATGACACAGTGAGCCAACTTTCTTGGCAACTGACCTAATGGATTCATTATAGTCTTTCTACTTCATGTCAGCCAAAAATGTTAGCTTAAGAAGGCATAACATGTCACTCACCTGGAGGTTAGCAACCCCCATGCTGATGGAAGGCAGGAAAGAGTTTCTCAGATGATTAATAGAGCAGTTTAGTTATGGAGGCATTGAAAGCCATCCTTTACCCAAGTTAGCAGACTGAAGGTTGTTTTTGACATCAGCCACCAATTTGACCTTATTGAGCTGATTGGACTTATTATTGAGACAGGAGTAAATGTTTGTTGAGATGATGATGCCATGAAGGTCATTATGGAAAATTAAAAACAAGTAGGACCAAAGATAGAATCCTGGAGGTTACCTGCGTTAATATAAAATGGTCTGAAAGAGTGGTCATTTTGGATAACTTTCATTTCACAATTTGATAAGAAAGACCAGATCAGTTAAAAAAAAAAAAATTGAAATTAAAATCTTATTACAATTCTGCTTGTTCCTCCTTTAGTTTCTTAGCATGTATGTTACTCCCTACCAATACCTGATAAATAATAGACTGTTATGTTTTGATTGCATGGATAGCCAGAAATGCTGATTCAGTGAAGTGGGAAAAGTTGTCAGTTTCAGATATTTTCATTTGTACCTCCTTACTTCTTTAAATAATGACCAACATTGCAATATTTTGTTAAAGTTGTTAAGCTCAAATATTTAATGATGCAATAGGGGAATTTCTATGGATAATTTTGTTGAACTCTATATAAGTTTATTCAATCATTAACTTAAGAATTAAGATTCATCAGAAAATTCAAATAGGAAAGCTGAAATTTTCATGGGTTTTTCTAGTGAATGAGATAATAGTTGAAAATGAATAATTCATTTTTTTTTTTTTTTTTTTTTTTTCAATTGTAATATGCAGCCTAACATTATAAAGAGAATGGGAAATTTGTCCCGGCTTTCCCACATGAAAAGATTGAGGTTTAAAAATTGCAACAAAAATCAAATAAAAACAGTAAGATTAGAGCAGACGAATAAAGAAAGACTCAAAACTCCTGCTCAATGTGTAACAATAAAAGAAACTGTTTATTTACATGTAAAAGAGGGATAAAGGGATAAACACAAGAAAGAAAGAGAGAAAAAAAAAACTTTAAAGGAAGAGAAAATGTTCATAAAAGAGCTTGCTTAAAATATTTCTCTGAGTGCCTAAAAGTTCTTTGAGTAGAAGGTTATTAAGGATTAGAAACACAGTTTTCTTCACAGTTCTTGTAAAGTAGGAAAATGTTGGTAGATAGGAATTCTGCAGTTGAGTGAAGTTCATAGGTTGACGAAAGAAGTCTTGTAGGTGAAAGGAGGCAGCTTTCAACTGGTCTTTAATAGTGGGCTGACGTTTGTTCTCTACAGCCCTTTAGTAGGTAGTTCTTTGTTGAAACTGGTTCCGAAGTTGACTGGCATTCTCTATCGTCAACCTTACAAATGGTGGTCGAATTCTCACTGCCAAATAGATGAAGATTCTCCAAATTTATAGAGGTTTGAGAGGCTTAGAAGAATCAGGGACTTTTCCCTCCAAAATTGTTATACAAATTTCCTGGGCCCTTCATTGGTCAGAAAATATATTCTTTTCTCTGATAAAAATCAAGGCTTTGGGAGCTGGTTATTGAAAGTAAGGAAAAAGGTTGAAGTGAACAAGTTGTGAGGTTTTCCCCAGACTTTATGGCACCATGGAAAGAATAATGGTGGTGGAATTCCTTTTTATATTTTCCAGCTCACTCGTTAGACAGAAAATATATTCTTATCTCTGATAAGAATCAAGGCTTTAGGCGCCAGTTTTGAAAGTAAGAAAACAGGTTGGAGTGAAGATTGGAAAAATAGGCTAGAATGTGAACTTGTAAAATATTGTATTTTTGTTTCTTGGATTAAATTCCAATAAGAGAAAAATATTGGGAAATGCTGTTTAAGTACATGCCAACATTATATGGAAGCTGTGTTTCATTTAATAAACTACACAAATTGGCTTATTCAAAGCTGCTTTTTTTTAGAATGCTATGTATATATTTAAGCTAAGGTTGTCATTGATAGGATTTTGAAAAAAGAAAATTTCATTTTAAATAGACTGATTTTTTTTTTTTTTTTTTTGTTAATCTGTGTTCATTTTGTTTTCATTTTCTTTTCAGGTGATGTCTGGGAAACAGTCAATATTATCTTACCTGAACACAAATGGATCTCCGAGTAACTAATTTGGGTTATATTATTTCTCGGATCCGGATTTCCGTTAGCTTGACTACTGTTGCTATTTACCTATTAATTCCAAGGCTAATTAAAACTGTTAGCTATCATGTTCCTCAGTTTTATAGTTGTTATCAGTAACAATGAACACAAAGTATTATTTTCATTAAAACATCCATCAGATAATTACACCACATCTCTCTCTCTCTCATTTTTTAAGTAACAAGCCTATCACTTGATTTTTATTTTTCATGACTTAATTTTACAATAAAAACAAAACAATTATATAAAACTAGTACTTGGCTTTTAGCCTTCAATATGAAAACAGGAATATAATAGAAATTCTGCCCTTCAGTCAAGAAAGAAGCAATTGAAAATCATCTGTTCGATTCAGTTTGTCCAGATTGTGTAATATTATGTGTGTATGATATATATACAATTTCCTACTACTAATGTTGTTGTGTGTGTGTTTTTTTGTTTTTTTTTTCTTTTTTTGTCCTCGAACTATGTGAATTACATCCATTGGCATGTACATTCAAGAGGCTGAAAGAAAATGTACTCTCTGGCAGGGTTCAAAGCTGCATCCCCTTTCTTGTTTGAACCCCTGCTGGAGAGCATACTTTCTTTAAGTCTCTTGGGTGTGCCGGTTGGTATACACTTTTGCCCGTTGCTGTTGTGTTTGTTGTTTTTTTTTTTTTTTTTTTTTTTACACACACTTACTCAAACATGGGCATCCATTTAGAGTAAATATATCATAAAAAATTCATTCATTTCTTAGAAAGTAATATATATATATATATATATATGCACACACTCACAACTGCTACTACTACAATTTTGATGAGATAAAGAATATTTTTGTACTTATTCATATATAAGGTAGTATATGTTTAGGTCCAAAAAATGTAAATGTTGAACAAATATTTATGATTTGAATTTTTTCAGTCATATTTCTGGTCATTATCAAGTTCCAAGTGGTCATTGTATTTGATGTTTGTGCATCATAAAAAAGCGCAATCTCTTAAAGGGCAAGAAAATTCTAATATCATTATTGCTAACAATACTTACTCACAAAGACTATCATTAAACCATATTAATGTCATCTAAAAATTTTCTTTCATTTTGGGACCAAACATCATTTTCATTTTCCTGTGTATTAACTTTCCATTTGTCTGATCAAAGTGCCATTCATGCACATTAATAAACATGGAATACTAGGCACTAGCCTGCCACAAGTACTCGTAAACAATACATGTATACTATATATAACATTAATTAAACTGGCTTCAGATTTTAGAAGCTGTAACCATAAAATCAAAATTAAATAAGGTCATCAGTTTTGGAACAGTGACGTCAAATGTATTTAACAACTGACAATATATTTAGCCCAGTATGTCATCCTTTGTGTGATGCTGTCATAATACACAATGGTCAACACTGAATTAAAAAAAAAAATATCAGGGCCAGGTTTACAGAACCCATGGATCTCGATAACCAAAAGTATGTCTAAAATCACTTGATGACAAAAATTTGTCCAGTATTTACATTCAATTAACTAAAAAAAAAAAAATTTTTTTTTTTTTTTTTTTGTAAGGGAGTGCTGAAAAGTTCTGAGCCTGTTTTAGTTTCCAAAATCAGTATTCTAATTTTCAGTTATTAAAATACTGATTTTAGGATGTTGATTGGGTTGAGAACTTTTCATCACTCTCATGTGTAGACGTATAGGATTTAAAAAAAAAAAAAAAATTTTAATGCCTTTTTACTTTTAAAATTTCTTATTTACTAATTTGAGTCATTCTGTGTCAAATCAACAAGGGTTATGACCATTGCTGATACAGATGTTTTTTTTTTCAAATTTGGTACACTTATAGAGCTTCATGCTACAAATTGAATAGTACCATGATTCTCTTGATTTTATGACCATAGTTCTTATGTAAATATTAATCAGCATTCAAAGAGCTTTCTAAAGATATACAACTTGACCATATTGAGAGATATGAAAATGTTAGCATATAGTGACAAACACCAAAATCTGCAATTTTGAATTTGGCCAAAGTCAGTAAAACCCTTTATGATGCACAGTCAAAAATTCACAATTTTGTACATATCTTGCCATAAGGCTTACATATTGGTTGTCAAATTTAAAAAAAAAATTAAATATACACTTTTTGAGAAATTAAAGGTCTAATGTTAAGATCAAATTATCTTATTTGGCCTCTAAACAAAAAAATAAATAGATTACTTTTTAGATCTATCCAATTACTTTAAAATGGTATATAATTTAGCTTTGTTGGTGAAAAAACTGAGATATTGATATTTAAACTTTGTAACTATTTTCCAAAATTGACCTTTTTAGCAAGGGTCAAAGGGTCATGTCTCTGGAGCGCTTTGACCTAGAGAGGTAAAATAGGTAATATTCAATTTATACCATGAAGCTCTATAAGTGTACCACATTTGGCGGGGGGACTGTCGGTGATGGTCAGACCCTTGTTGATTTGACACGGAATGTCACTATAAATAACTTTAACAACCAAACTTTAAGTTTACACTCAAATCCAATTAAACAATAGCATATTGTAAACGGTGATCAAGTTGCTTTTTATATAGCGGTAAAGGATTTTATACAAAGTATGGCTATTGAATAATGAACTGCACTTATGTCTACATAGTGCATGTAGGAACTGCCAATGAGAAAGTATAAACAATCCCTGAAAATTTCAATTGACTCGCATTTCCATTTGATGTCATCTGTTACTTGAAGTAGAGATGTTTTACTGACATGTAAAAATGATCACTTCAAAATTGAGCACCTTATCAATTTGAAATTTTTGGTGTTATTCAACAAAACAGCCATTTCTACACAATTATTCTTCATACTGAGTCAACAATCATTTCAAACAATTTTTTAAAAAAAGTTTTTTCTGTCACCAGTTCTTAATGTACAAGAGTAACCATGTTTATCATCTTTGATATCCTCTAGACTTTCATAGAATCTTTTGTGACATTCATTCTTCCTCTGTGATCTTCAGTTAGTATATTAAAATTCAGTAACCATTTTCTTCAATTTCACCAAAATTTCTAAGTGATGCTTTTGCTTGATTTGTGAACCAGCCATTTCATAACATGTTGGGAAAACATATCTACTACTTCAAGTGATGTGTAACAGTGAACTGAAGGCATGCATAGATGACTGGAACTTTCTAAGTTTATGCTTGCTCCTTGCTCAATTTGTATTACATGGTTCATGAATTTATCTTGTGGTTCAACTTACATGAACACTGGATTATTATTTAATAGTCATATTTCGTATATTAAACCTGAGTTCAGTTTTATTGCAATCTCTGGTTTATTACTGTCAGAGAATGTACCTATATGGAATTATACAAATTAGGTTCAGTTATAAAATGGGTTTTCATGCATGAAAATATTTAAATCCTCTTTTATCACAATCACAAGACCCGTAACACATTAAGGTCATGGGGACACCACATGTACTGGGCTATCTTGAGCAAGATAGCCTGGCAGAGCCCAACTTTCTCTGGGCTTATTTGAATTCAGTTTTTCCTTTTAGACTGGTTGCCAACCAAGACCTATAAGACCCAGTCTGTCTTACTATTTGCCCATAGCTTGGAAGAGAAGAGATGGATTCATACCTTTTCCAAAGGGATTAGCATGTAAGTGAATGTAATATTAATACCCTTGAGAAACGTATGAATCCATCTCTTCTCCATACCCACACCCCACCCCACCAAAGGTATTCATAAATAGCAGGACAGAGACTGGGTCCTATATCCTTAATTCAAATACTCTTTGACAATCTGCAAAATGCCATATTGATGTTGGAATTAATAAGGTGTTAGCAACCTAGTCAGATTATTTTTCTTAAAAGAAAGATACCTGAAGAAGAAAAAAAAAATAAGACTGTAGTCCACTGTCTCTTCCTACATGGCAGAGTATCTATCATAACATATGAAAATATGTTGGTCTTATTTGACCTTGTTTAAGAGGTTATTTCTGTATCTGAATAATCTACTTTGGTAAGAGAATTCATCTGCCAATAAAAATTAGAATATTTTTATTTGTGTATCCAGTGTTTTGTTTTGCTTATTTGTTTTTTTTTTTTTTTTTCTTTTTTTTTTTTCTAGTTACTTTTTCAGTTTTTATTTCAGAAGATTATAGAAAATCTCAAATGTGTTTGGCCATTTACATGAATGACCTAAATAATTTTAGTAAGCAATTTCTTAAAATTGCTTCATAATTTTTTGAGATGCACTCATGGAAATATTGACAATGAAAAAGCAAATAAAATGAAGGGAATTACTTTAAAAATCATCTTATTTCAATACTTTATTACACTTGTAATTAACAAACTTTTCCTATAGTTTAGTTAGCAAAACAAATATTGGGTATTTTATGAGTGATGGCTGCCCAAATAGATACAAAATTACAAACATCTGTCATGTTTTGATAATTATTTGAAACATTTTGAATCAGAAAAGTTGCAAATATTCAATGAAAAGTGGTTTGCTTATTGCATAAAGACTTCATATCTGCCTAAGTTATGTTTCAATAAAAAAGAAATGTCAAAATTACAACATGGTTATTGATAATTCCTTTATTTATTGTTCATTAAAATAATTATAAAATAACATTTGGAGTGGAACAAAAGAATTTTTGAAGATAATTTTTAAAAATATATAATAATAAAAAAAATTGTAACATGAATGTTTCTTGTCTATATATTGTAATTCAACAATGTAGACCCTTGAGCTGGAACCAGATATGAGCCCTTGCAAGTCCAGGGTGTATGTATGTATGTATGTATGTGTGTGTACATATATATCTATAATGTGTGTGTTGTTAAATGTAACATAAAACGAAGGTCTATTGTTTTATCATGAGCCATTCCAAGTCTCATATAATGGCATTAGTTTCAAGAGAAAATAAAGACAAAAACTGTCCAAC